TGTATAGAGTTTAGGGCTGACTTTGTCCACTTTTTAGGGGCGACCTTGTCCACATTTTGTCTGACCTTGTCCACTTCTTGTTCTGACCTTGTCCACTTTTTTCTGACCGTGTCCACTTTTTTTAGGACTTTGGAAACTCCTTAAAAAGTGGACAAGGTCAGAAAAAAAGTGGACAAGGTCGGCCCTAAACCCTATACAGCCAGGATTTAGAGGCTCAAATCCTGGCTTTATACAGTTTAGACCTTGTCAACTTTTGTTCTGACGTTGTCCACTCTTTTTCTGACCTTGTCCACTTTTGTCTGACCTTGTCAACTTTTTTCTGACCTTGTCCAAAAACTAATTAACATTTGTATATATATATATATATACATATGAAAGAGAGGTTTCGGGTTTAGGGTTTAGGGTTTCGGGCATGTTTGCTTGTAACCCGTGACAGCAGGTGTTCCGCCGACAAGAGCGGGTAGCTGGGGGGTCTAGGCAGAGCAGGACCGTGTCACTTCGCTTAGGGGTTGAGGGGTCTAAGCCCCAAAAAATCTAGGGGCCCCTAAACCCCAAACCCTAAGTCTTTAGGTTTGTGACTTTAATTTTTTTGGCTCTCTGAAAAGGGACCTTATTGAGAGGGTCTATGTCCCCCAAGGGTCGCCTAATCATAAAGAAGCCAGGCGAAAGTGCCGGAAGAGAGACCTCCTGTACTCTCCAAGCTGGACCTCTGCCGGTCTTGTGGCTTGTGATCAGGGATCAGAGACTTCGATACAGAAACCCTAAACCCTAAACCCTATTCCTTAGGATTCTGCAGATTCCTTATTCTATGTGCGCTAGAATAGTCCCCAAAGCCTGAGTTTAATCATTAAGGCCATGTCTTTTAATTCAGGGCCGTTTTGGTGTCTTCGGGAACTTGACCTTTCGGGATGGACACCCGAAACCGGAGATTGCGCCCCGTGCCACCAGATCTTAGGCAGATCCGGGCTCCAGCAAGGGCTCCTTGGTAGGGTTTAGGGTTTAGGGGTTTAGGGTTTTAGGGTTTAGGGTTCAGGGTTTTAGGGTTTAGGGTTTAGGGTGTAGGGTGTAGGGTTGAGGGTTTAGGGTTTAGGGGCTCTCAACCAGACCATGGTGCGTCTCCGAGTTGCTGACGAAGGCAGGTGGTGTGGCCATAAATCCCCGACATGTAGTACTACACCGGGGTTTAGGGTTTAGGGGTTCTTCGCTGTCCAAAAATTAGGGTGTGCTGGCGGAAGATGAGAAGAACAAAGACATCGGGGCCAACATATTGACATTGAAAGGACAGTTCATAATTCCCTTTGGTACACGCTTGTAAGGGACATGGCAAAGGACAGCTGATGACATAGCGAAGCGGTTGAGATCACCAGCTACTCAACCCACTGGGCACTAGACCCAAAAAATGAGTCTAGTCCATTATCGTGTATTGCAGTATACTGTAGTGCATTATAGTATAGTATAGTATTATATCTCCCCAACGCCCGGAAGCTGAAAACCCTAGAACCCGGGATCCGCACAACAAAGAACGACCCGTAGCAAAACCCATACAGACTGGACAGGATCTTGATGGGTTTATGGTTTAGCGGTTTAGGATTTAAGGTTTAGGGTCATGTAAGGAACCCTAAACCCCTAAACACCTCAACCCCTGAACTCTAAGACCCTAAACCCTAAGGCCCTAAAGACCTATCTTACGCCCATGTAAATCTGGATCCTAAACCCTATAGAAACAGGATCGTAACGTCCATCGGTCCGGAGGGCGAGGCTGGGCAGCCCAAGTTCAAAGTGCTGAATGTAGGTACTGGTAGTTTAGACGGTTTGCTCCAGTATAGGCTAATGATAGGGCTGAGCAGAGGGTTTTATAGTCGCCGGAATTTCGGTGACTTTACAGGGCTTGTCAAGGGCTGTTTAAGTGGTTGTATATGACATAAGATCCCTCATTATAGTCACAAGGGTTCTATACAAGTGACTTACAAGTGTCCCTTATCTTCTGACATTCCAAAGTCTGCTTTCTTCTTCGGAATTTTGTGCTTGTTAGCGTCCAACCCCGAAAGGGTTGTGAAGAACGGTCTTCTTCTTGTTTTTATGAGTCCAAGGACGACTATTCGTTGTTTTGTGGGTCCGAGAAGTTTAAAGCTTTAATGTAGGGGCCTTAAGAATTAGAATAGGGTTTTGGGGGTTCCTTATTATAAATTATAGTAAAATATACCCGAAACCCTATTCTAATCATTAAGGCCCCTGTATTATGGTGCCCTGAACAGCGCCTGAAAGGGGCATCTCGATATCGAGAATAGTTCAGCACTGGGAGCGGGTCAGAAGCCTCTTGCACTCAGGTTTGTGGGAAGCCTGATAAGCACTGGGTTTAGGGTTGAGGGTTTAGGGTTTAGGGTTTAGGATAGTGGCTGCGTTCTGTCATGAAGAGTGACGAAGAACAGATCAGAAGCGCTTCCTGACGTATCTTTGACGTGCGCCCTCGACAGCTGCCCTGTGCGAAGTCCTTGGCCCTCCAGGTCATTCCGGAGTATTACCGCGGCAGCATTCAATGCATCGACCGGAATGTAGTGCGTGAGCCAGTGGACTGGTAAGTGTGTGGTTTCGTTGTGCTTCAGAGTTTGCAGTATACTTATGTTGCCGTTCTTTTGCGAAGCAATGCGGTACTCCCTGTACTCTGATGCAGCTTTCGTGCACGAAACCAGAGAATCGAAACCATCCGAAGCTGCTTCTAGCTGCCAACTGTTTTAAATTAAACTCTCGGCTGAAAGGAGCCAACTTATGCCTTTGGGTGTTCACGACCACGATGCGCTTCCGCTTGGGAACCTTCTGCATGCAGCTCATACCCTGTGTGGACTGCATGGCCCCTGTGCACCTGACATGGGGTGACAGAGATAACCAAAGGCCGCTGAGCAGCCACAAAAACAGTGATTTGTTCTGCATGCCTCTGCCATGGATTTCGGGCTGAGGGTCTGCAAGCCTTCATCTGTTTGTGCTGAGCTGTTGTCCAGGGCTTTCGGGCTTTCATATCAGCTCAAAGCTAGTCAAAATTGGAAGAGTAGTCGCCATAGCAATGCGTATCTATATTCCCGAAGAACAGATCCTGTAGGCTCAACACTTGGCGCAGTTAGTGCACCCACGGACAGCATCGGCAACTTCAGCCCCAATTTCTCTGAGGGTTAGGTGAGTCTTGAGTGGGATTTAGGGTGTAGGGCCTAGGGGCAGCAATTGACATGCCTCTTGAGAGCAGAAAGAACCTATGCAAAATGGAACTCTCCAAGCCATATAAGAACCGCACAGAACAAGCTCCAAGATACCGGGGGGGCAAGCTGCTTCGAAGAGCATATCCAGTAGGATATTTCATCTGCCAGTGAGTCAGTCAGGGTCCTTAGGCGCTTTTCGGGGCTCGAAGGACAATCTCTGAGCAGACTGAGCCCTAAACCCTAAACCCCTAAACCCCTAAACCCCTAAACCCTAAACCCCTAAACCCCTGAAGCCCTAAACCCCTCAA